TCTTTCTGGTGCCTCAGTGTTAGACACCACTCCTTGTGAGGCAGTAGAATAACCTGAAATTATTTCACTAGACCTTGTAAGTCCCCTCAGAACACCTGACACTGCCCACCTGCAGTTATAGGAGGTGGAGAGTGGGAAGGGCCCCCCAGGAAGAGTGATGGAAGGGATGGTGAAAGTGGACAGGGTAGAGGAGCATCCAGTACATTCTATTTTGTGCCCATTTTATAGATGAGGAAGCTGAGCCACAGAGGGATTAAATAATTAACCCCAAAACTAGATGATTTATGAGGTTCTTTTGCATTCTGACCAGGCAGTTCCTGACCTTAGAAAAAGCATCCCAAGGTCTATACCTTCTGGTCCCACACTTACACCAGAGGTGGCTCTGAGGCAGGCTGTCAGCCAGTTCAATCCCCAACCTACTCTCTATCAGTCTTCACCTTAGTCTTGTCCTGACTCTCAATGACACGAGGAATCTCCCTGCCTTCTATAGTCCTGACACCCATGCTAGCAGTCCCCATCCTCACACTTGGCTCTGCCATGACTAGAACCTTGCACACCTCAAGGGCCAAGCCCAATGTGGATGGGTGTGACTCTTCACCAACTGTATTTCCGTCCTCAACAGTTTGCCAAGGCCCTAATGCACTTTGGGGAGCATGAGAGCAAGATGCAGCCAGACGAATTCTTCGGCATCTTTGACACTTTCCTGCAGTCCTTCTCAGAGGCTCGACAGGACCTGGAGACCATGAGGAGGAAAAAGGAGGAGGAGGAGCGGCGAGCACGCATGGAAGCCATGGTGAGAGGGCTGGGCTGGACCTGGGGATAGAGAAAGAACTGAGGGGAGAGAGGTTGGTCTGAGCTGGGTACTATTTGGAAGAAGAGTGGTTGGGTGTGTACAAGGAGGGTAGGGATGGAAGAACACTGTAGGGGATGAGGTCAGCCCCAGAAAGAGAAACATCTTCCCACCCTGAGGGAAGAGAGCGGTGTGAGGTAGAGAGGCCAGGACACCCTGGGAGGGAGGTGAATGGGGCCATCTGGTAAGTTGGAGCCTCACGGTTATAGCCTAGGAGTCATCCCCCAATTGGAAGAGTGATCATGTGTGAGCGGGACTGAGGGGGGCTCCCTAGCCTTAGAACACTGTCCTTAGAGGGCCCAGCCTTTCATTCCCTCCCACACTGCCTTCCAGCTGAAGGAACAGAGGGAGCGTGAGCGGTGGCAGCGGCAACGGAAGGTCCTTGCAGGCAATACGCTGGAGGAGGGAGGCGAATTCGACGACCTGGTGTCGGCCCTGCGCTCCGGGGAAGTTTTCGACAAGGACTTATGCAAGCTGAAGCGCAGCCGCAAGCGATCAGGGAGCCAAGCCCTGGAAGTCACCCGGGAGCGAGCAATAAACAGGCTAAATTATTGACCTGGGAGACTGGCCACGCAGGAAGCTGAGAGATGGGGATGGGCTGAGAGGGGCTGAGTGGAGGAGGAGGTGATATGTAAACAATTTGGTGCTCGGTTCAGAGCCCTGGGCTGGGTCCTGGGGTGGAGGGCTGCGTGTGGCTGGACCAGGCTCTCCCCACATTTATCTTAAGGGGTTCCTTTCACCTCCCCTTCACATTACTCTTTCTACATTCAGGCCCCCGGGAATCATTCCCTGGCAGGCCCCAGACCTATGGCCTGGTAACTCCAGGATTATGGGGTCCTGCTGTCCATCCCTGCCATGGGTACTCACATGTTGGTACTTTGCTATTCCAGATCTAGGCTGGTGAGGTCCAAGTGCCTTGCCCAGAGTCATGTGCAGGAGAGAGTGATGTTGGGGGTGGGCCCCTGACAGTCAGAGTGAAGAAATTCAGCACCCCCACACACTCAAGAGGAGGCTCAATGGAATGTTGATCTGGGGGTGAGCTTTCCTCTTGGTTGGAAATGGAAGAAGCATGATATATTCTAGCTAGATCAGCCCTGGTATGTTTCAGAAAGAACGAAAAAAAAAAAAAAGTTGTGAGGATGATGCAGGGACCAAAGCCATCAGGACAGTGGCAGTGCCTGTTTCTTACATCATAAGTCCGTTGGCCTCTCTCTTGCATGTCTTAAGTCCCTCTTCCTTCCTTCCCCACTTCCATCCTAGCTACTACCACAATCTAGGAAACTCACCTTTGGTTTCCCACAACTATGGTTCACTACCAGGTACCTGATGAGCCTGGTAAGGGAGGGGCATCAAGAAAGACCTCATAAATCACCATATTTCATGCCTTGGGCATAGGGGACTCCCCCCCCCTTATTGTCATGAAGTGAGCCAGCGACCTCACATCTTACCTAGGAGTTCCCAATACCCATCACCAGAGGACAATTGAATGCCTAGCTCCACCCAAGAAGTCCCCTGATATCCTACTTAATATTAATCACTCAGATCCCACTTTTTCTCCAACACCAGCATTGGGGCAAAAGCTATAGTGTCTCCACAGTATGCCCAACCTGCAGGAGACCACTCAGAACCATTTGTGCCTGGCTGAGGCTAGCTCTGGGGAATGGGTTCTTGAGAGTCTTGAGGGCTAGAGCTGCTTTCTGCATTCCAACTAGGAGACCAGAGCTGAGCAGGTAGGGGAATCTGGGGAGAAGAGGATAGAGCTGCCTATCTTGGGGGAGCACATTGCCTGAAGGAGTCAAGGAAAGAAGTAACCCCATCTCCAGTACCCAATGTGATTCTTCAGCCTGACTTGCAAGGGGCCTATTCTGGTCCTCCCTCCCACTCAAACCTTCTATTTTGTCCACATGGAACTGTCTTTGGTGGGGAGGTGGGATGGCTGCATCTAGACAAATTTCCTTTCTTCGAAGGATCCTCTGTTGAGGATCTTATTTCCAATGCAACTTCCTCCCTTTCCTTTCCCCCTCTGGGAGACCAGCCCTGCCTGACTTTCACCATCAATGAGCTCCTGAGCCTTCTGCCCTCTTGTCCTTCGTTTGATATTCTTGAACCTGGCTCAGGGTTGTTGCCAGTGGATGAACTGGTGGGCAAGGCGCACTCTTCAGCTGCCTATCTTCTATCTTTCCTCTACATCAGCTTCCTGGGGTTGAGACCATAGTAGCTGTGATGGAGGAAATGGGTTGGTGAGCCCAGCATGTGTGTTGGTTCGAGAGGGCAGCTGGTGTGTTCTGGTGGGAGGGATCTAAGCAAGTGCACGGTGTGAAGAGGACATCCTGGAATCCAGGCGAAGGCAGGATGAAGGCTTCCAGGAAGAGCAGCTGCAGAGGGTTCTGCTATACTCATCTGCACAGTCGAGAGCCCCACTGCAAGAAGCAGGCGTTGGAATAATGGAGATGTAGTGGGTACTGTCCCCGGAGGTCTCCCAAACTGGTCAGGCTGAGGTCAACCTAATCCACAAGGGGCTCCACTACTGACAATTCCTGGCATTCCCACCACCATTGAAGACTGGATATGCACCAGGAAAGACAAGGATTAAGGGAAGTTCTTTAAAACACATTGGCTCCTCAGAAAAGCATTTGTTTTAACTGTTTACAAAGGACACAAATTGCTCCAGGACCCAGCCTTCTCACTTTGGAAGTTTTCTTCTCTATTTATTATTCTCTGAATCTGGCCAGTGGCTCTGGTGCTAGATGCTATTGTAGCCAGAACTCCAGCAGTGCCTTGGACTATGGACTGTCACGGTCAACTCAGCAATAAGAGGCTGGCACTCAGCAAAGGTGGCTGAGCTAGTGAGATGTTAGACGTTTAAGCCTATTAATACGATTGTTGGTCTTGTTTTCCGCAGTGCCTTTCTCTCCCTTTTTGCCATCTTTAGGTGAATTTCTACAGCTAATTGTGTGTCTGATGTAAAATTCAGTCGACCTAATGCTACCTGTCCTCAGCAGCAGCACTTCCTCTTCCCTTTTGAGGGAGGTAAAATGTGTTTGGGGCAGTGGGAAGAGAAACTTCTTCAGGTGAATGGGGAGGGGTCAGGTCCAGGCTTCCCACCCCCACCCCCATTCCCTGCAACTAGTGAACCCTGACCATCTTCTCCAGCCTCTACCAGGGACACTTTCCTGCCAGGGCTGCTCTCACCAGCTGTCTCAGATGACAAATGAGGCTCATGGACAAAGTCTACAGTGTCCTTTTTACCTGCACCTTTTTTTTTTTTTTTTTAAGAATATATTGTTATACTAAAAATTATTAAATCCATACCATCCCTACCCAGCTTGCTGTGAAACTTATACCTTCTTCCCAGGAGGGGTTTTGGGGTGGGTTTGGGGTAGCCGGGGAGCAGGCACAGCCCGCAGTGTGCTGCTGCCAATATGCACCAACTCCAGGAGAACTGTTGACATTTTCATGAATGTTTCAAGCCATGTGACACCATACTATGGTAGATTGAAATTCATCAGGATTCTGACACTTCTATCATGGAGGCTATGTGCTCCAGAGAGCTGGTTGTTAAAATTTGCCAGGACAGCCTGATATAGGGAGAGGGGAGGCAGGCAGAAAATAGGCAGAGGGCCCCACTGAGGACCCACTGAGACCTAGAGCAGCCCACCCACAGTAGAGAAGCCAGCAGGCCAATCCAGTGTTTGGAGAGCTGAAAACTAGGAGTCTCCACCTACCTCCCCCTAGATCACTAATAGCTGGTGACACAAATAATGAATTCACTACCCTCCTCTCATCTGGCAAAAGAATTGTACTTTAGATGTTAGATTTCTGTGCCTCCCACTCTACATTCTCCCACAGGAGGGAGGATATAAGCAGGACCTTCAAAAAGTTCATGGGAAAAAAATCATATGAAAAATACATATGCATTTCAAAATTTTTACACCAAAATAAACTCGTGTTTTAATTCCATTTTTCTATGAACTTTTAGAAGTCTGCTGATACATAGAATATGCTCTTAGGGCTTCTCAGGGTCTCTTCCTTTCCTCTTTCCCCAAGAGGGTGGGTCTTGGATGGGGATGAGGGATGCGCCTACTACCATGGCAGCTTGGTGGCCTCTGCACAGACACAGTCGTGCTTGCATCTCCAGATTGGCATTGTGGCTTTATTTGAGCGCTGTGGGGGTGAAGGCAATCTTCAGCTCTCTTCTGTCCCTGGTATGTTCCAGACAAACACCGGCCGTGCACAGGGCTGCGTGTGGGCTGTGCAGTTGGGAGGAGTCCTTAGGACAGCTGCCCACGTGTGTGCATCCTGTGTAAGAGGAGGAGGGTCGAGGACAGGGAGCTGGCAAGACAATGCACTTAGTAAGCCGAAAGCCTGCAAGCTTGATGGGGCCCAGACCCAGGCAAAAGGGGAGGATTACTGGCTCTTTGAAAGGAGCAGTGGTAGCGAAGTATGGACAGGCAGGGCCGTGACTTCACAGACTTGGGGGAAAGAAGTGATACATTCTTTAGGCAAGCTTGTGCTTTTCCCTCCTCAGAGTGGGTTCCTCTGCTGAATGAGCCCTTATTCTTTCTCCAGGAAAAGTAGAAGAGAAAACCCAAAATGAGAAGTAGAGGTTATGTGCTGGACTGCCTGAAACCAGCTGTCTGAACTAGTCCATAAATAACACACTGTGATTTTTCTGTTATCTAGCACTGCTCGCTGCGACCCCTCCCATGACTTTAGTCCTGGAAGAGGTAAGGGCCTAGGCATCCCCTCTGTATGAGGGAGGCCCACAGGTCATTACAGGTCATCTAGCAGCAGACCTAGTAGGACGGATGGCCTTAGACTTCCATTGGTAAACAGTGACCAGGATCAAAAGAATTCAGCCCAAATTGCATCCCATCTTTAAACCTGGCTGGGCCATGGCTGAAAGAGGACCAGAGTTCTAAGCCCGATGGAAGTCCCCTCGCTGACCCCCAGTCTTGCTAATGAGTTTGATCTCCCCTAACACAATGTCCCTGCTGACTGCCTTACACATGTCATACAGGGTGAGGGCAGCCACAGCAGCTGAAGTCAGGGCTTCCATCTCCACTCCGGTGGGGCCCCGAGCCCGGCAAGATGCTTCGATGACCACAGCATGGTGTGTGCTGTCCAGCTCCAGCTGCACTTGGACATGGCTCAGAGCCACATGGTGGCACAGAGGAATCAGCTGACTGGTCAGCTTGGCTGCCTGGACTCCAGCCAGCTGGGCTACCCCCAGGGCATCTCCTTTCTTTAGCTGGTTCTGCTGGACGAGCTTGAAAGCCACAGGCCCCAGGAGGACCACAGCTGAGGCCACGGCCGTTCGCTCTGTGTCCGGCTTTCCACCGACATCTACCATAGCTGCCCGTCCTTCTGAGTCCACATGGGTTAGTTGGTCCGAGGTTGGCAAGGGTCCTGAGGGGGTGACAGGAGCCTGGCACCCTGGGCTAAGGCACTTAGAGTTGGTGTCTGAGTCTACATGGGAACTGTAGTGTCTCTGAGGGGAGCCAGACTCCAGCCACTGGTGGGTTAGAGGAGGGGCCTGGGGGACTCCACATCCTTTCCACAAAGTCACCATCTGATTGGAGAAAATCATTCTGGATCTCAGACCCCAAGCATGGAGGGGGGCCCAGGAAGAAATGTTCAGATCGGCTGGTGGGGAATCTTGGAGCATCGGAAATAGCTCTGGAAGGCAAGAAGGAAAGAGGAAGAAAGACTAAGTTCAAAAGCTAATTCTTTTCCCCACCTCTTCTCCCCCATCCTCTCCTTATCCCACCTCCAGTTCTGTCCTTCACATGGGGAAGGAAGAATAAAGAACAAAATGCATAGCAAGAAGAGACGAAATAGAACATGCACAGACAGCAGGGCTACCCTACAAGTTTAAAGTCCTTCTTAAGCCCACCAGGTGAAGCACAGAGCAATAGTTTCTGACCGGCATGCGGTGGTGCTGCAGGGTTGCTCCTGGGCTCCCCTCTTCACAAAACCTTTGTTTTTAAAGTCTTATAAAGCACTTAAGGTCTGAAGGCTGGAGTTTGGTTCATATGACCTCTCAATGTTCCTTTATTCTCTGAAAACTATATGGCTAGGTCTTACCCTAAATTACCAAATAGTAATTTTCATCCTCATTCTTTATGAAGAGTTAATAGTAATCCTTTAGTATACAGACACGATACTAAGGAAAATATTTACTCTATTTAAATTTATTCTACTTAAATCTTTCAAGTTCCCTCAAGCACATCAAAGGTACACACAAATGGACAGGCTGACCCAAATGATCTGTAGGGCCATGGGAACCGTGCAGGCTCTTGTTACTCAAAGGGTGGTTGGTCTATGGACCAGTGGCACCAGCACATCCAAGAACTCACTGGAGATGGAGAGTCATACCCAGACATCCAGAATCAGAAATACCAAAATCCTCGAGTGATTGATATGCCCATGGAAGTCTATCAGCCCCTATTCTCAGCAACTCTTGGTTTTACAGAAACCAGATTAGTCTAGGTACTCTGAATACCAGTGTCCTGTATGAAGTAAATGGACTCCCAACTACCAGCTTTCCATCACACTCAAAGCCTTCGGCCTTGTCAGTGTCAAGAGTGCAACCTCCCTGCTGGAGAGCCATCCAGGCAGTCCTCGCTCCTTGCCATAAAGGTGTGTGAGCATGGGTCAAGCCTGGTCTGACAAGAGGACTGTGATGCTGGAGGTTGAGAAGAGAGAAATGTAAAGTTCTTCTCTCAGTGGGCTGCTTGCCATTGCTCCCATTTAATGAAGTGTCCTCCTTTTTTGGGTGGCTCATGTGCAAAGGTAGTGGAGTCCTGCCTGTTTTCTTCTGGGCTACTGGGCTTACTCTGACCTAACCTCTGGAGGAAACTCTCCCCCCCCCAAGTTTCTCTCATTTCTTTCTTATCTAGTGGCTAATTCAGGGGTCCATATCTGGGGTGACCAAGGGGACAGGCTTCCCCTGCTCTAACTGAGCAGGAGCAGCCCTAGTGCTCCTCATGGACCAGCCCAGTTCTGGGTAAGAGACACATGATGCTGTTTAGGTGTTGGTGTGTGAAGTATCCTAAGCACGTGAAACCTGCCGTGTGTGTGTGTGTGTGTGTGTGTGTGTGTGTGTGTTCCTGAGAGTTAAGGGAAGTTAAGGCTGTCTCTTCCCTGAAAGGCTGTGTAACATTATTATCCAACAGCTTCAAGCTCTGCCCAGCAAAGAACAGCAGCAGACCAACTAAGGAGCTATGGTGGCCAGATCATGCACATGGGTGCTCCATACTGTAGAGGGGCTCAGATCCAAACTCAGAGACTCTAGAGCTGAAGGAAAGATCTCTCCTTTACCCAGAAGCTCAATGCTCAGGGAAAAGCCAACTTGGTGATCACAAAATCTGGAGAAGCCCCTCCCCCAATTTTGGATGCAACAGAATGATTATTTATGTGGCATATAGTGAAGAGGAGCTGAGGACAAGGAAGAACAGAAATGTAAAGGCTTGAAGGAATAAGAAAGGGTGAAGAAAGAACAGGAGAAATAAGATGGGAACATAAGGATGGAATGCAGGAGCTGGGTGCCTAATGGCAGGGGTCCCACCCCACAGGGCCCCCAAATGACAAGGGTGAGTGGTTACGTACTGATGGATCACCCACCAATGAGGATCATGGGCCGGTTCTTCATCTGTGAAATATTGAACATGCCTATAGCAGGGAAAAGACAGGAAGGGAGGGAAGGGGAGAAAAAGAGGGGGGGAGAGTGTGGGGAGGAGAGAAAAAGGGGTGGGGAGAGGAGAGTTCATTGAAACAAACAGAAGGGCATATCAGCCTGGCAGCCCTGTGCCCGTGCTGTGGGGGCATCTGCAGGGACTATGGGGCTGTCTGCACCCTGACAAAAGGTCCCACATGTATACTGCAAGGTCACGCATGATGAGCCTAGGGCGTGGTGTGTGGACACCCAGAACCTTGTCCCCCCAATAAGATAGCCTAGGAGAATTGGGGGTCCTCTCTCTCCTATGCAGCCTCTGCTATTCATCTTCTCCAGTGAGGATTGCCTGAGCTTGAATGGGACCGAGGGACTGAGTGGTAGCACACCAGCACCCCTCCTCCCTCTCATCCCGTCACTCTGGACCTCTCTCCTGCTCTTCAAGCAGCCCTGCCCTCCCCACTCCCACCCTTACCTGCATGCTGCCGCTTCTTCCTGCCCACTGCCGCCCCGATGATTCTCAACAGCTCCTCTTCGGAGGCTCCTGCCCGCAGGTAGTCCCTTAGCGATACCTCTGAGTTCCCAAAGAGGCAGACCTGTGTGGGAAGGGGGCACACCTCCTTCAGCCCTGAGCTGTGGCCTCCCATCCCAGCCTTGGAGCAGTGAGCCCCCATCCCTCAAGTTCCCCTGACTGAGCACCCCTGATCTTTTCAATAACCTTCTGGATGGCTTCTTTTTGGATGTTAAACTGGATGCATCTGAACCCCACCACCCCTACTCCATAAACCAAATCAATTCCCAGGACCTAGTAGCCTCCTTAATGCTGTTCTCTCCCCCTTCTGCCTGCATTACTGAGCTCTTTGACCCCCCTCTCCACATTCACTCACACTCTGACATATCTGGAACACTACAGAATGGCCACCTAATGGGGATATCTATCCTCGAATGTCACATCTCCTCCTTGCTCAGAAACCCTGCACAGTGCCCTGCTGTCAACAGAACATGTCCTGAACCAGGGCCCTCTACCACGTGGTCTCCCCATATGTGCCCTAGCCAAATCAGTATGAACCTTAGATGAGCACTCTCCCTTCCTACCCCACACATTCTTCAAGGCTGGCCGAGGCCCAGTGTTCTTCCACCACCCTCACAGCCTACCCGAGTTCATACTGGATGAAGAATCAGGCATTGCCACCCATCACCTCCTTGGTCCTATCAGCGAATGTCTACACCATCAAGGGAAAGGGCCCTTGCATCCCCACAGGGCTGGACACACAGATGTGCTTGTTAGATAGGAGTAATGGATGCTGGTTTTAGAGCTGAGCTCCTGGCCTGGTGGAAGTGCCAGCCACACTGGGAGCCAGGCAAAGTGCACACTGATCCCTCACCCCTCCTACTGGTACCGCTGGTAGAACCGAATGCTGGAAAGGGGCTCCCAATAAGCCAGTAGTTACTTCCTTCTTCCAGAGACACAAAGTAGAAGGGATGGAAGACAGAGAGGGTGAGAAGGAGGGAGGGAGGGAAGAAGTGATAGTGCCACAGGGGTTGTGAGTTCACCCTCACTTCCTGCTCCTGTGAGCTCACCAAATCCTACACTATTGAATCAACCACCTACGTGACCTACTGGTCTCTCCTCCAATCTGGGAGTACAGGTGGGAGGAGAGAAAAGAACATGGAAGTGGCAGGGATCTTCGTGCAGGAGGAGATTCTCACCTTGAGGTTCCCATCTGCTGTGATTCGCAGCCGGTTGCAGGTCCCACAGAAATGCTCAGACATGGACGTGATGAAGCTGACCTGGCCTTGGAAGCCAGGGATTTTAAAGGCCTGGGTGGAGGGGTGGGAGTGAAAGGAGGGCAGTGGGAGATGGGATGGACCACTGAGCTGACCCAGTGGCCCATCCCATCTCACTGGCTCCCGCTCCTCAGCCCTCTCCCCAAGCAGCCAGTGGGAAGGTCGCCCAGAAGGCTCTGAGATGACAGAAGACTGGTATGGGCTTGGGGTTGGTGGGAGGCATGAGTTCTTGGCCCATGGCTGGCTTGCCCCAGAGGAAACTTCCAGGAATACGGGGACCTGCAGGCAGCACCTCCTACCCTCCATCACCTACTAGACTTGGTCTGCACCAAGTTATTTAACCCCCCACACTGCCCAAGCCAAGCTGCTTCTTCATCCATGAAATGGCTGTGATGACATTGTGGCACTTCCTGATTAAACAGTCCCATCACATGGCCACATCTTGACTTCAGCGTTGCCTCTGCCAGCTCTCCCCTCTGAGTGGGGACCCAGACTTTTCCAGGTCTGGCCCACTGCCATGTCCCCTAACCTTGGCTGTGCTGGATTCCTCCTCCGGCACCTTCTCCAGCTCCGGCCACTGCTGCTGGATGGTGTCCAGCATCTCCTTGTAGCTGACCATCTTCTTAAAGTTCCACTTGTTACCTATATTGTATGGGGAGAGTCATGGGGGAGCTTCTGAGTCCCAGAGCTGAAGGGGCCCTGACCCTCAGGCCTATCATCCCAAACAGCACAGGAGTCAGTTCTCCAGCCTCTTGGCCAGGAAGACCCGGCTCTACCTGAAACAGGAGGATCAAATCCCACCCACACCTGACTCTGAGAAGCCACCAATGCTCAGTTATGACCTTAGGCTGGTGTATGTCAGTCCCCTCCTGTCATCCCTGGGGTGAGCAGTGCCACGGGTAAGCCAGACCTTGCCTACCTTGCTCAGCACCCAGGCCCAGTCCCTCCATCTCCACCCCTTCCTGTGTCACTGACCATCAAAGGGCATATACTCTATGAAGCGCACGTCCAGGGGGAGTCCCTCGGTCAAGGCCACAAAGTTCAGCAGCTCATCTTCATTCAGGCCTCGCATCACCACGCAGTTCACCTGGCCAGGGACAGTGGGAACATTGGGCTGTCTCCCACTGTCTTTTGTGAGGAGAACCTTGGGGGGGTCTGGCGCCTGGGGGTCTGGCGCCTGCCAGGCTGTCTACTAGGGACCCATGTTGGGAGAATCTCATTGATTTTCTCTCTTCTCTCCATGGAGGGAGAGGCAGGCTGGCTGCTCTGGGAAGGGAGTGGGGGTGGACCAGGCAGTTGCACTGGCCGCAGCTGCAGGAAGGCAGGAGCTGCAGGGAGGGGGGATATAAGGAGTTGGTGGCAGCAGCATGTCTCACCTTCACGGGGCGGTAGCCCAGCTCAATGGCCTTGTGGATGCTCTCCATGACCTTGTGAAAGCCTGTGGGAAGGGAGACAAACAGTATCCAGGAACTTCCTCCCTCTCCCCTGTGCCCACACACCCACAGTGTGTTCCAGGGCTGATGAGTGATTACCACACATGACGTTCTCACCTGTCTCTAGTGAACACAGTCAGCGTGATCCCTGACTCCTCACCCCCATGCAAGCTTCCTCTTGTCCAGCTGATCAAGTGGGTGTGCCTACTACACACTGCCCCACCCCCAGCCTGCACTGCCTGGGTGGGCACCTGTGGTTCATGGCTGGCACATCACCAAGAAAGGCACCTGGTGATGGCCTACATCACCTCCTTAGAGATAGGATAAGGGGAAGAACATGCAACCTTTATACCAAATGCTACTAAGATAATCCGGAACTAGAAGATGTCTTCTCTATAACGCTCTGCCTCTCTAAAGGCAGGCAGCACACACAAGAGTATGAATGGGAGGGGAGATCTGACTTTGGGGTACACGGTCTTGAATCTCTGTGCCAAGAAGAGAGAGACAAGGAGGAGGGAGTACTTGATTGTGGGGTACACAATCTAAAAATACATCATCTACTTTCCCAACTTGCAGGTTCTTCACCCACATTCCCCTTGAAAGGAGGCTCCCTTAATTCCAAACCTCTCTGTTCCTCAAGCTGAGCATAAACACCTCCTACCTGAAGCCCTCCCAGCCCGCTCCTACTA